ATGTGTGTTTATTGTGTTTTGGTTGGGTTTTGTAAAGATCTTAATTTGGCCTTCATCTTCAGTTATGGTTGTAGCATAAGCATCGATATAATAAAAGGTGTGTCAAAGGTCTCCTGTCAACACTTATGTATTAAATTATAGAAAAACAGCTCATGGAACAGACGCCAATGAAACTGCTGATACAGACGATCAGCCTTGATGTGACTGTTTGATTTGGTTCTTGCCTCTGTGAGCTGACAATAACAGACAGCATTGAAAGACCAAAGATCCAAACAGGACACACCGAGGTAAGATCTCTTATAAGGATAATGAGGGTTTCATCTTAAGCATTACTATAACTCACTTAGTGTAACTGGAAAGACATTATTGGACAACCACATCATTGGAGCAAGTATAGGTCTCACAGCTTTATAGACAGTGGCACAGCTTTGGGTCCATCTTGTAAGTTTACGGCCATGCCAACTTTATTTATGAAACGCTACGTCCAGCCACTGACCAAAATGCTGGACTGACTTCATGGACAAATGCTAATTTACTTTGTACAACTGGCAATTAGCATTGATAATTCAGAGCAACCAAAGCTTTCTAAATATGATGTAAGATTAGAAGGCAAACTAAACTTCACCTAAACTTACTCATCAAAATGGGAACAAGACCTGCTTAATAAAACGGAGCATACATCTGCACTAGTTACAGACAAATCAACAAGAGATTTTAAATATTACTGCATGCAAACCTTTAAGGTACTCTCACTGTTACATATAGGCAGAAACTCCACATACTTTTGTACCATCCTGACACTCGTGCTCTCTTTGTCAAACACCGTACGAGTTGCACCTGCATTAGCCTTTCTGCTTTGCGAGCCACATTAGCTCTGTGTCTAAACCTGCAGAGTCAACAGCACCAGTTGTTAGAGGATGTCCTACGCCTTCTCTGTGCATCTTCTGCACACACTGGCTGTAAATACCCTCTCCTCAACCAGGTGGAAGTTGTTCATTATTTTTAACCTGTCTTCAGGTTAAATAATACTAGGAACCTCATTTACATGTGCAATTCTTTCTGAGGAAATCCTTTTGATTTCTTGTCGTTAAAGCCTCTGAGCCTGTGCTTTTTTCTTATGCATAGACCTATGGCTGATGCAATGCACTTAAACTTAAAAGTTCTGACAGATGTGGAGGATGTTAATTAGGCAAGTTTTGGTGAATAGCTGCATGCTCTGATCAAAGACATTATGTTTCTCTTAAGACTGTGGAATAAAACGGGTGGTGGTGAAAACTGAATTTCACTCTATGCGTCCACGTGTTGTATCATCCGATAATGTAATGTAATATAATATAATATGATATGATATGATATACAGTTTTGATTGTAAAACAAACAGCAAATGTTTGAAAATACAAAATAAAACGTTTTACAAAATAAAAAATGCTGTTTTCTTGCAATCTCTGCACAGAGTATTCCAAAAATGATAAACACATGAATTGTGGCTCTTTAATAGAAAATAAATGATCTTCTCAAATATATATTGATTTGTGTGCAATTACATTGTCCAGCAAATTGAGGCATTCTCATGAACTTAGAATGAATCAATTAAAAACACACAGGTGAAATGGTAGAACGAGCAGCTTAGAGAGGAATCAAAGTATTTGCTTTGAGAGACGAGTCGTCTATTTGTTTCCATAGCACAATACAGTTAGGCAAGAAGCAAGGCAACTGGCTCATCCTTTTCTGTGGGCTCCCTCTAGCTTGTAGATAGTTTGAAGATAATAGTTTGTTTTAAAAATACTCAGTGTTAAATCTTCCCATAATCTATATTTGGCAAGTTTAGAGTGAGACAAAACAAAAAGAACCAATAAAATTCCAATAACTGGACTGGGGGAAAAGGAACGTGTTGGTGTTAAGCCACAGAAATCTTTGCACTTACTATGTATCCTGGTGCACAGATACAAGCTCCAGTGATGCCATCACAGTAGGCTCCATTAGCACAAACACACAGCTCTCTGCAGCCCTCACCGTAGTAACCTGGTGGGCAGGTCTCGTCACAGTAAAGCCCAGTCCATCCCGCAGCACAGGTGCACTCTCCTGACAGAGGGTGACAGCTGAAAGAGCAGGAAGATTAGAAGGTTTTTTTGCAGTGTGTATATTGTTTTGTAGTTCTCCCATTTTGACCACCCTCGACACAAAGTTACTTTTATAGTAGGTTTAGTGGGAAAAGCAGAAATATGTGAAACAAAATATCAACTCCACTTTAACTAGATACAGTAATTCAAACATTCTATTCTACTGAAGTGTTGTACAGTAAGAAAGCCTGAGCAATTATCCAGTACCTGAGTGTGTTTGTGTGTATGCAGGGGCAGTATTTGTCACAGATGAGTCCATACAGGCCAGTGGGACAGAAACGATCCTGACAGCTAGGCCCCTTGAAGCCTTCGTTACAAAGGCAGGCGCCGTTGATGTGGTAGCATTTGGCTCTGTTCTGGCAGTCACACTTGTGAGCACACTGTGGCCCATAAGTGCCAACTGGGCATTCATCCTGGCATCTGGGTTGGTTTAAAAAACACGGAGGAGTTATTTTCCAACATTCTAAGCCTCTCTTCTAAAGGTGCCTGGGATTTTTCTTTTTACAAGTTAGAGTGAAAGAAACAGTTATTACTGCAGCAGTTGGGACTTCTATTACTTCTAATCAACTTTGTTACCTGGAAAGACACAATTCAGAGATAATAAATCGAGTTGGAATACAATCCTTGAGTAAACACCCCGTTTTTCTGCAAAATGTTGAGCTGGTATTTGGGAAAAGGTAACCATAGCTGTTTAGACAACTTCCCCTTG